CCACTCCCCCCACAGGAAGGCAAGGCCTCCCATGGCAGCATGTCCAAGCCCTTCCCCCTGCCTCAAGGCTGTGCCAGGTGTCCCACCATAGGTAGTGGGCTCCAAAAAGCCTGGTCATGCACCAGGGATGGATTCTGATTCTACCGCCAGGGGGCCCCCAAGCAGATCCAGCTACACAATTGTCTCGCTATGCAGAGGGCCTACTAAACTCATTCTAAAGAAGCTCTTAGCAAGTATATGCAAGATTGGATTTTAGTTCTAGTACATTTTCTAGTTTAAAATATAGTTAGAAATCACAGTTAACCCCCAAATTATCAGACAGATTATAGAAATATTAGGGCCCAGTGCAGAAATATCGTGTTCTGGAGGAATAAACTTGACAGCCTGTGCAATGTTGGAGGTTGCTGAAGTGAGACCGGCATCACTGATGGCCTGAATTACAATGTAGAACATGGTGCTATCTCCTAGTTTCAAAGTTTCTGGTTTGAATTCAAAATTTTCTTTTGCGCCAGCCTCTTTAGGTATCAGACCAGAGGTATTCACTAAAGTAGCGTTGTTAAAATTTTGGAGATCCTGAGAACGCTGACTTATTCTGATGTCGTATCTTTGCGCTGGAAAAAAGAGACGTGTTCATTAGAGTTGCGAGGACGGGTCTCTGCACTGCACTGCGCCTGCGCAGGAGTTGCCAGACTTGCATGCTGAGCTTTAGAGATAGAAAGCCCAGGTACAGTTTGTATCTGGCTATCTCGTCTCACTGACTTTAAAGACAAGTATATGAACAATTATCTTAAAAAATGTCCAGTTACAAAAATCACAGAAAAGATAATTCAGTATCGGTAATATCTGCCCTCCACCCAGAGTCCAGGTTTCTTTTTAGAAGGACGTAGAAAGAGCTGAACTCAGTTTTAAGTTAGAACAAGGAACGCATAATGTTCATGTGCAGTAAAGACCGTGAGTATCTTCTGTGACTTTTTATGAAGTTGAAAGAAGGAGTAATGGGGTGGGAATGGGGCACTCAGTGAGAGACCAGAGAAGAGATGAGGCTGAGTCAAAGGCACAGAAGCCGGATGAGCACTAATTACACTAATGTGCTCGGGAGTTTACTCCTCTTCACTATCCTTTTTTTAACAATTTATTTTTAGTGTTTTATTATGTGTATGGGTGTTTTGCATGCATTTATGTCTGTGTGCGTATCTGTTGTGAAGGAGGACAGAAGAGAGTCCCCTGGGGCTGAAGTAACAGATGGTTGGGACCTGCCTTGTGGGTGCTGGGAATTGGATCTGAGTCCCCTGGATAAACAATCATGTTCTTGTCTGCTGAGCCATCTCTAAAGGAGATTGGGCGGGGGGGCAACATAAATTTAAAGATTGATTTTAAAATCTTAAGATAAAAATTCAGGAATAACTTTGGCTAATTCTAACTTTCTTGAAGTTCAGTTTTTACATTAAAAATAAATGAATAATGGCCTATAGTAGACACTCCATAAATATTATTTATAAATGAGACATTGGAAAATTTTCGGGAAAGAATGCGAATGTGATTTCATTTAGAATACCTTATTTTTAATTATTAAAAAAATAACATTTATGCATATAACACTTATCTGTTGTGTAAGTATGTCCCCTTACAGAATCAGTTGAACAAATAATTCCTGGGATCATTTCCTGGCAACAAGTGTTTTAAGTGTCTATACAAAAATGTAATAACTTAATTTCTTACACATGACTCATTCTGAATACTTTAAAACTCGGCCTCTAGCTTACCTCTTCCTTTGTCGAGGACCTTGCCAGGGGCGGTCCAGGTAAGGTGAAGATGATCTCCGTTAAATTCGGCTTCCAGATCTGTGACTCTACTGGGTGGGAACACAGGAGGAGCGTGCTCACCACCAGGAGGCGCTCCAGACACAGTAAAGGACCCTCCAGAGGTTAGCCTGCTGAAGTCTTCCACAGGAGCTTCTGCTTCTTGCATTTCAGGTCGAGGTGGGTTCAGTATAATTTTACCTATAAAAAACAGCCACAGATATTGCATCTCTCATATTGTCTGTTCTTTATCTCATGCTGATCTTAAAGCTGTTCATGGCTCATGCAGGTTGACTACAGACGTTGAAAAGTGAGAGAAAAGCTTATTTATATATCATTTTGCAATATGCTATGTTAAAACTAACTTTTAACCTATCTTAACCTACTGCTATTGCATGAGTTCTTTGATGACAAGGAATCATTCAACTCCCTAGCTCTAGCATTTAGCACAGGGCTTGTTCCATGACCTCGGGAAATGTATTTTGTAAATGAAACAAACTGAGGGAAACGTTAACAAAATATGTGGAAGCGTGGTCTATGCTGTGTCCACTGACACGAATATGATTTTGAATTCCAAAGATGATTGCATAATTATATGCTTGGGTTTCCCACATATATCATCCCTTTCAGCATTTGTTTTATATAATTTACTGAAGTAGCTAATACATTTCTTTTTAATGCTACTCACCATCTTCAATATAACCAGGTATATATAAAGACTTGCTCTGTTGTCTTAAACTTAGTCTTGCTGTGTTTTTTCTTGCCTGGACATGCACTTTTAAGCTGTATCTACCATTTCCATGATAATCTGTAAAATATCTTGTGTAGACGCCATCATTTTTAACAGTATCAGCACCTTGATAATGAAACACAATACTTAGTCATGCAGTAAGTTAAAATGAAAATTGATATTTAACAAGCATTGGTGATATGAGTTTATCAGAGAGTATAGGACAGTTTAAACCATAGATCTTAGTATTTTGGTTCAAAGCTTGGCTTGACTATGTACTAACTCTGTTTTAGAAAGTATAATTTATAGTAGGCATTCAATTAACATTAGCACTTAACTTTTATTTCACAATAGAAAATTGTCCAAAAAAATCTTAAAACTGACAAAGACATTTAGCAAGTAGGAGGATATAAAACCAATATAAAAATCAGTTTCCAACTTTTGTGCAATGACAGTATTGTGACCAATGAGGCTTGTCTGAAGTGCAATTATTGCTGACTGAAAAGCCAGTAGCTTCCCCATACACCAGTAGTGAATATGTGGAGAAAGAAACTGGGAAAACAATACTATTTATAATACCTTTAAAAATACTCAGGAATAACTTTAATCAGGGAAGTGAAAGACTTCTTTGATGAAAAATTTAAAACACTGAAGAAGGAAATTGAAAAAAGACACTACAAGTTGGAAAGACCTTCCATACTTACACATTAGCAGAATTAATACTTTGAAAATGGCCACATAGCCAAAAGCAATCTGCAGATTAATGCAATTACAATAAAAAGTCCATTGACATTCTTTACAATAGTAGAAAAAAAAGCAATTATGCAATCCACATGGAAACACAGAAGATCAAGAATAGCCACATCAATCCAAAATACAATGAACAAGGCTGGTGATATCACCATGTCTGGTGAGTCATGCTGCAGGACCACAGTAAAAAAGCAGCACAGGACTGCCATAAGAACATACGTGTGGACCAATGGAATAGAATAGAGGACCGAGCATTAAACCCACACACTGAAACCCTGTGATTTTGACGATGCCAAACATACATTGAAGAAAGATAGCCTCTTCAACAAAGAGTACCGGGAAATTGGACAGATACATGTAGAAGAATGAAATTGGAACTTTAGCTTTCATCTTGTATGAAATCAATTCTGAGTAGATCAAACACCTTAGTGTAAGATCTGAAACTCTAAACCTGATGGAGGAGAACACTTCAGGATATAGGCATAGGCAAAAGGACTTTCTGTGAAGGAAACCAATAACTTGGTAATAAAACCAAGAATTGACAAATGGCACATGAAATTTTAAAAATTCTGTATAGTAAATAACCAAATGAAGCCTGCCATATGGGAGAAAATCTTTGGTAGCTATAGATCTGACAGGATAAAGATCTAGAATGTATAAATAACTAAAAAAAAAAACAAAACAAAAACAAACTACCAAAATAGACTGTAGTGGGTAGCCATTCCAGCTTGGATCTGGAAGTTCCAACCCCCATTGAGACTCTGGCAACTGTCACGCCTACGAGGCGGGGCCAGCGCTCTCTCTGTGTGCTCTCTCAGTGCCGGGACGCTGAACAGTGAAAGGTGGATTGTGCAGAGCTCCGGAGAACACCGCTGGATTGCAATACACCTTCCCCAGGACTGTGCAGAGCTCCGGAGAACACCGCTGGATTGCAATACACCTTCCCCAGACCCTGCGACCTACCCATTACTTAATTTGTGAGTTACGCCATTAAATAAATATCCTTTTAACTACGTGGAGTGGCCAAAATAATTTCTCCAATATCTGGCGCTCACGTGGGGCAAACTCCAAAGGCCTGAGTGGCTCTCGCCCTCTCCTCCCTAGCTGGCGGGTACCTAAACCCACCTGCAAAGTTCCATATAACCAGGGAACACCTACACGGTTCCATTCCCGAAAAAGGGAGCAGCTAGTCCGATCTCAATTCCCGACCTTAGCCCCAGACCAGTGAAAGAGGCAGGGGAGTGCTAGCTCCCATTTCCACCATCTCCGCCATTTCCACCATCTCCCTCTGACTCCAGCCAAGATCGCCAGCAGGCCCTGGTTTGGAGCTGTACCAACGCCACCTGCTGGCTGAAAAGTGCTACTACATGCCCCCAAACCCACGAAAGGTAAGCATATTGTTTCAAGTAAAGGTACTTGATAATTTTACACCTTAAAATTGACTAACAAATTTTGAGTAATTCATGTAATATGGCCGACAACATTACCTCACAAGAATTTAAAAACCTTTTTGCCT